GCCAGTAAGCACCCTGGGTCATCAGGTGATAGGCGCTTGTGTTAATAATCAATACATTATTATTTAATAGAGAGGCCAGTTAGCGCCCTGGGTCATCGGGTGATAGGTGCTTGTGATATTAAATAATACTTTATTATGTAATCAAGCGACCAGTAAGCACCCCAGGACATCGGGTGATAGGCGCTTGTGTTAATAATTAATACTTTATTGTTTAATAGAGAAGCCAGTAAGCGCCTCGGTTCACTAGGTGATAGGCATTTGTGTTAATAATAAACATTTTATTATTTATTAGAATGGCCAGTAAGCACCCCGGGTCATCGGGTGATAAGCGCTTGTGTTAATACTTAATACTTTATTATTTAATAGAGAGGCCAGTAAACGCCCCGGGTCATCGGGCGATAGGCGCTTGTGCTATTAATTAATAATATATATCGTTTAATAAAGCGACCAGTAAGCGCCCTGGGATATCGGGTGATAGGCGCTTGTGCTATTGATGATTACTTTATTATTTAATAGAGTGGCCAGTAAGTGCCCCGGGTCATTGGGTGATAGGCACTTGTGTTATTAATATGACAATTTTAATTTCCGCGTGTCTTTGGCAATGCCCCTTCACTCCTGTACTGTATGCTTGACGGAACATTCTCCCTAGATCGCATAGCTATATATACGATCTCGGGAAAAAGTTCCGAAATTGAATCCGCCTAACCCTGGCTAATGCGAAAGAACAAGCGGTCTATACTTCTTATATGTCTATGGCTGGGGCAGTGAGGCTCGCGTAGAAAAAGAGAAAAGACGAGAGAAGTGAGTCTTTCTCTCTCGCTCACTTGTAGTAAGATCAAGGACCTTGGCGTGTTGATTTCTAATGACCTGTCCTAGAAAGCACATGTCTCTGCTATTTGCTCTCGAGTCCACGGTACACTATACAGGTTGCGGTACAATGGTCGATCTCTTTCATGTAGAATCAAATTGACACTGGCAACGACCAGAGATTAGTAGGGTGATTGCTGACTGCCAGTGTTGGGTGAGGAGGATATGATTTTGCATTTTTATCACTAGGACTTATATATAGCTACAGATCCTAGTGATAAAAATGCAAAAGCTGGATAGGATGGGGGAGGAGGCCAGTGGTTCTCCCCAAATGTGACTGGCAAACTTGTGGGAAATTCAAATTGGCAATGTGGTGCAAACAAGACGCAAATACCCAGATAACTCGACACAATTACATGCACAATAACTTAATGTACTAATCCCAAGCTATTTAACCCAAAAACCCAATGGGCCAATAAGCAGCCTCATAAGTTTGAATAAATAATAAAATTTAGTAATTAACAAAGCAAGCGCCAATCCCCACACGACCCAAGGCAATTACTGGTTGCTTTAGGTATTTATGATTTATGAAATAATACCGCAAGCGCATATCCCCACACAACCAAGGGAGCATACTGGTCGCTTACTTAAATTACTATAAATAAAATAATAACGCAAGCACCTATCCCCACACAACCAGGGTGGCTTACTGGTCGCTTACTTAAATTACTATAAATGAAATAATAATGCAAGCGCCTATTTCCACATGACTCGGGGCGCCTACTGGTTGCTTTGATTATTTACAATAAATAAAACAATGTGAACGCTAATCCCCATACCTGACCCGAGAGGCTTGCATTATTCAATTGATTTTAAATAATTATAGTGACCAGTAACCACCCCTGGTTGTGTGGGGATAGGCGCTTGCATTATTATTTTATTTATAGTAATTTAAGTAAGCGACTAGTAAGTGCCTCTGATAGTGTGAGGATAGGCGCTTGCATCATAATTTTATTCATAGTAAATTAAGTAAGCCACCAGTAAGCTCCCCCAGTTGTGTGGGGATAGGTGCTTGCGTTATAATTTTATTTATAGTAATTTTAGTTAGCGACCAGAAAGTTTTCCTGGTTGTGTGGGGATAGGTGCTTCCGTTATTATTTTATTTTTAGTAATTAAAGTAAGCGATCAGTATGCTTCTTCGGTNTTTATAGTAATTTAAGTAAGCGACCAATAAGTGCCCTTGGTTGTGTGGGGAAAGGCGCTTGCGGTATTATTTTATTTATCATAAAAAATTAATGCAACCAGTTAGTGCCCCCGGTTGTGCGGGGATCGGTGCTTGCGATATTATTTCATTTATAGTAATTTAAGTAAGCGACCATTAAGTGCCATTATATGTGTAGGGATAGGTGCTGGCGACATTATTTTATTTATTGTAATTCAAGTGAGCGACCAAAAAGTGCCCTTGGTTGTGTGGGGATAGGTGCTTGCGTTATGATTTTATTTATAGTAATTTAAGTAAGCGACCAGTATGCTCCCTTGGTTGTGTGGGGATATGCGCTTGCGGTATTATTTCATAAATCATAAATACCTAAAGCAACCAGTAATTGCCTTGGGTCGTGTGGGGATTGGCGCTTGCTTTGTTAATTACTAAATTTTATTATTTATTCAAACTTATGAGGCTGCTTATTGGCCCATTGGGTTTTTGGGTTAAATAGCTTGGGATTAGTACATTAAGTTATTGTGCATGTAATTGTGTCGAGTTATCTGGGTATTTGCGTCTTGTTTGCACCACATTGCCAATTTGAATTTCCCACAAGTTTGCCAGTCATATTTGGGGAGAACCACTGGCCTCCTCCCCCATCCTATCCAGCTTTTGCATTTTTATCACTAGGATCTGTAGCTATATATAGGTCCTAGTGACAAAAATGCAAAATCATATCCTCCTTACCCAACACTGCTGACTGCCATGCTACGGAGTGTGCCCACTTTTTTCCACTGTTTTGAGCGCCCCGTCGCGGCCAAGCGGCCGGTCCAGGCGCATATTTTTATTTTATTTGAGAAGCATGGTAGGGGTATGCGCTTACGAGGAGAGGAACGGATTCGCGTGGAAATGGACATATAGGCGCACATTTTGGAGACGCGTGGAAGGGGTATATACCGAATGTGCGCCTTCGAGGAGAGGAGTGGAAATGTCGACATTAGCTACTTATATAGCTGAGCGGCAGCCGAAGCAAGCAACGACACGAGTTTTTCTCTTTTGACTGCAACCGAGTATATATATGCTGTATATTTAACTGACTCTTGCTCTCGCTTTTGCTTTATGAATATGTATCAATCTTATTTAATTTAATCGTGGAATCGTGGAATCATAATTACATGCACAGACTTTTTTTTTT